CACTTTGGTTTGCAGGTTGACTTATTGCCCAAACAGCAGCAAAGCTGGTGAGTGCATGTAAAGTCACCGATTGCCACACAGACCATCACTCATAAGTGGCGGTGATAAAAGTTGCTTTTGCATGAATTATCTTTACAGGCGGGTCAATTGCAAAAGGTCAAAGAAGTCAGCAATTATTTTGCCGCATAACCTTGTCTAATGTTATTTTGAATTTTTCTATTAAAACTGTAAGATAGTCGTCATTTTGAGTTTTTCAGCCACATACTGACCTGTATATCAAAAAGTAAAACTTTGAAATCATAACATAATTAAAAGCTTTATAATTAAAAGGTCTCATTTATTTATATTTTGGAAGTTATTAAAGCTATAACAGGGAGAATTTAACTTGATTTCAAACAAGATTGTGCGGAAAAACTGGAAGGGGCGGGACCTTCTCTGCAAGTTGGCATCCAAACGTCATTATGGCTTAAAGGTGGACGCCTTTCTGTGACGAATGCTGCATGTAACAGGTTCATGCAAACAATGATTTTGCAGATCATCAACCAGTTTTATGCATCATCATCAGATTATGAACAAAGTTCAACATGATGAAACTTTCAGTTAGAATGAGGTCTTTACCTTTCATAGTTTTCCTTTCATATTTACTTAAACAGGATGAAACTGTGATCTCTCTACAGCTTCTGTTGATCAAAGTCGCATCATTTATTCATGAGAAAAGTGCCTCTTTCCTACGCTTGGGTTTTATTTATTTATCATGTTCAGACATACAACACCTACACACCACGACTGGGCTAACACACTTTTTAAGAATGAGTGTGAACCATTAGTAAATAATTCAAATGACATTCCTGCTCTTAATCATTGAGGCTTGGCGCCATAACTAACCTCTAAAGGTGCTATTAAGTTTTTAAATCCCGGTGTTGTGATCCTCATTCAGTCATGCAGATCCAATACATCCGACAGCTGACACAATATTTTCTTATTCACAGGACGGCTTCATGCATTGTTTAAACAAAGAAACACGTTTTTCTGCTGGGATGAAAATGAAATGTTGATGAAGTCAACTTTACTTCAGGAAAACAACATCAGCAGCTGCCAAATGTGTCATCAGAGATTTACTTGTGCATTATCAATTCAGGTGCAGGTGTTTGAGCACCTGACATGATCAGAGTGCAGATGGATCTGTTTACAGCACCGTGAATTAGAAAGTATGAGCAGCTTTATTCTTATTATCTGCAGTGCAACTCTGGAAAAGTACAGAGCAACTTTAACACATACAACTACTTCATCATCCTCCCTCTGTCAAAGAGAACAAAACCTCAGAGTTCAGTTTTTATAAGGGATGAAAGGTGCTTTCTGTGTTTGTCTTGTTGAGCTGTTGATGCCAAAGTACAACTTACTATAAAGAGGAAAATCTTTTTTTCTGCGTGAAAAAGTGTTGAAGGTTTAACTTACTCCCTTTTGAGATTAATTGTATTCTTTGCTGAGCGATGGCTCTCCATCTGGCACACTCTAAGTAAAAAACAAAACTCTAGGATCTAAATCGTTGCTTCTTCAGAAACAGTTTTTCATGTCTCTTGTTTGTGGAGACTCAGTCCTGTTGTTAAAGAACCACTCCAATGGAAAATCAGGTTTTTCTTGTTGTCTACATGTACATATGGTATTTTTTCTGATGCTACAGGAAAGTAAGTGCAAAGTTGCATTTCTGAGTATTTCTGCATTCAAATTGCTGTGAATCTCTGGCACACTTAAACGGCAGGCTCAGTCACAGTGAGAGTTCCTATGTCACAACTGCAAGCTCCTCCCCCCAGAGAGGACCGTCGCAGAACTGTGTGCTCTGTGTGTGTTAGCTGATTGCAATGCTCGTAAGGAAGCTAATTATGATACTAACTTTCATCATGCACCCAAAGACATTAGTGTCCAAAAGCTGAATAGCTCCTTTCTTACCTGTCACTTCTGCTGCACTGGCAATGTTAGGCTGCAAGCTAGCATGAAGACATGGGCGCTGTCTCCGCCCATGACTCAGAGGCGAAATGCTAATGAGCTACTGGAGCTCTGCAGAAATATTCCTCTCAAAAATGGCACAGGTAACGCGATTTTGGCTAAAAACTTCATAATCACAATTTAAAGACCACCGATAACACTTTAAATAGTAAATAAAAACCAACGGAGTGGGACTTTAAGGGCTTTTTCACAACACTGTCGCTAATATGCGACCAACATAAACACTAATACAATGATGAAAATGCAGTATATCACTCTGGTGTCCATTGTGGACAGACTGTTCTGCAGACTCTCTGCTCAGATGTATCCTCTATTTATAGTTATCTCCAGTCTCCTTTTAAAGCTGCACATCTATGCTGTCAGCTTCTGTCACGTCTGTCCAGCTTTGTGTTGTTTTTGCACGGATGCTTTTACGAGGATGAAGCTCCCTGTAGATAAAAAACATAGGTCTGGATGTTGTATGAACCAATTCCATATCAGCAGGCTAAGGCGTATACAGCTAAAACAGTCTGTATAGAGAGCAAATGGAGTTCCTGGAGTGCGAAACAGGGGTGTGTTTAAATAGTATACACAAGTATCTGATTATAAACTGATGGGATAAGATTATTTTGTGCACACAACACAGTTATTTCGTTCAGACAAGATGATTAAATTCTGCAACACATTTAACAGTTATGTGCAAACAACTTGTGTGTGCACAAGTGTTATAATGTGTGCAAAAAATAACGTGTTTATATTATGCATGTGAGATAATCATGTTGCATGCACACGTTAAAATCGTTCACTTTGCAAAACTTTGTTGGCTCAATGCTGATGATGATGAGAATTTATTCAGCTCCATAAACAGATACTCGCACGCAAGGGCAGCTAACAAAAAACAAACATCTCATTGATGGTGTTCGGGATGGATTGAACCTTTAATTAAAACCTCAGAGCGATTAAACAAACATCTGTCATATTCATTAACTACACAATTATGCACCTGTTCTGTTACTTTACCTGTCGTGTGTGTGTGTGACGTGAACCTCATTGAATACAATCCCCACTAAGTTTTGGTGACACACACATGAGGACGTCATATTTCCACAGTAACCGCCTCTTTCTCTGTAAAAGATGCCCATTGGTCTAGTTTCTCTCTGATTGACATCTTTTCAAATAAACATACTGCATTTTATTCTGTATCATGGGAAATTGGTCGACAATGACTGCTGATGAGTACTTGGATTGGTTCAGCTGTTTCAGACAGTGCTGAGAGGATTTCAAACAGAGCATTTGGAGCATGTCATGATACATTTTCATCAGGTATTAATAAATGCCGGTGTGGATATCTCTGTTACAAGATCAAATAAACTAATAATATCAGATAAATCTCTGAAGCTCTGTTTTGTTTTTAACTCCCAGAGTAACCACAAAGACTAAACTGAGCATTATTATTGACAGTTTTCTTCACAAGGCTTTAAATGTTTTTTGTTGAGCCAATAAAAATTATTTTGCCTATTTTTTTTATTTTATTTCAAACCTCTCGAGCACATGAACTCCTCGCAGCTATTTTCTCCACTCAAATGTCACATGAAGGGAAATCTGCAGATGAGCCATTTTGATCTCTAAAATAACTGAATTATCTTCTAAAGGTTGTGAGAGATGCGATCTCTGTGATCAAACATAAAAGCTCAACATTTTTTCCACATTACTTTGAATCGCTGTTGTTTCATCTCTTACATATTTATGTGTTGTTACATTGTCCTTTCTCCCATCTTTAAATATTTCATTCCTCCTAACATGCTGCTGTTCAGGGGTTTCTGACAACTTAGTCTCACATGTCCACAGTGGTTTTGGTTTGCCAACAGCATTTTTTACTTGCTTTGATTTGCATACTTTGCTTATTCTCCTGTTATCTTGCTCACTTTACTTTAAAACTTTTCCAGCTGTTTGCCTCGTGTGAAAAACTTGCAACCTCAATACCTTTAAAACTAATTCTAAAGAAGTGCCTCACCAGTACATTAGCAACCTAGACCAAATCAGTTTTTGGTACCAGGCTGTAAACGTGTTACTTATATCGTAAAAAAAGACTTTTTTAAAGTTTTATTTATATAAATTAGTGTGCATGTGGCTTTTAGTGTTTTTGCTTTCATCCTCAAGTGCACACTTACGGAACTGCAGACACACAAATGCATGCACGCAAATGCAAACACAGCAAGCACAAGCACCTCTATTCACTCGTAACTTTCTGACAGGGTCACTACTGTAGGTCTCGCAAGAGGTGAGAAAGGCACCTTTCATAGACTGTATGGACAACCTGGTTCCGCCTTCCAGCAGTACACGGATTTGAAGCTGAAAAACTCTTGGTAATTCCGCATATTTTCTCCAATTCCTGCAACCAACATTGTGCAGTAGCGTTGTACGCATTCAGCGGGAGAGTCGCCGAGAGTCGCTGTGATGACGCTCAGTTCAAACAGCGTCACAATCTTTGTACGCCCCTTAATAACTTTTAAAAACGGAGCTGTACAGAAAAAAGGGGACTTTAGCACAAACAAGTCTGACAGTAACTACATGTCAACATCGCAAACAGGGGGGAGAAAAATGTATTAATTTCGAAAGTTTGTCCACAGCCTCTTAAGCTTTGCTAGCAAGAGATTTATGACCTATTCTGCAGCCCGTCACCAGATTGTGCTGTTCTCAGAGCGGCTTCACCCAGCGAGGAGGCAGGCGGCGTTCATTCCATATACAGTCTATAGATGGGCTACAGTACATGTACATGTTCAGTGCAAGTCTTCAGGATTTGGCTATATTTAGTTCTGTGCTCAGTCGTTTAGGTATGCATCCGCACAGACCAAACCGTTGAAGTAAGAATGCATGCACCTTTACGTTCCCATGACAGATATGATTTTAGCAGCTGTTTCATCCTAGAAATCTAAGAGTTTGACCTACAAATCGCTCTATCATTGAATACTTAGATATGTCTATTGTTCATTTCCGTGGCATTAAATCACAAGTGTTTACCATGTGGGCCTTGGGGAATCCATGCAGAGCTACTGGGCATCAGATCCACCCTCCTCGAGCCGCTCCTCTCTTTGCATATTTATGCGATGCGGCTCATTATTGAATCTATTTGCTCTACTTATGTGATCAAAAGCTGGTTAGCTCCCGGGGGAACTCGCTGCCTACCTCCCCATCCGTCTGTCTGTCTGTCTGCACAGCTGTCTGTCTGCCATCTTCCCCGACACACCAAATCCGCTAACATTCATGCAGACCTTTGTGTTGGCTTCAGTTCTTCTCCACAACACAAATCAATCCCTCAAAGGACTCAGAGTCTTGAAATCAGTTCCAGGTTGCTAATGTGTGCTGTCAGTATCGCTCAGCAGCAGACGGAGATAAAACTGTTTATGGAGGAGAAAGGAGATCGGAGGGCCTCGCTTCTCTCTTCGTGGTCCGTCTATATCTCAGATCCTGAGACCGTTGTGTATTTTGAAGATCAGATTTGAGAGCATGTTTACTTCAAGTCCTCGAGGTGAGCCCCATCTGTCAGGCCTCGCCATGAAGTCTGATGCGCACTTAATTTCCTGGTTTCTTGCTTTAGATGTTAATATAAAACTGGATGTGACTCTTTGCTTTCTAATGTTCAGCTTCAAATATTCGTTTTTTTAGAGCTGCTGCAGGCAAATGTAAAGTCAGTTTTCATTTGTTTGTCTCTCCAGCATTAAGGGTCCAAACAACAGCAGAGATTGTTCCACTTTTATCCGGCCTCCTCTCCCACTGCAGTCATTCTGTTTTATTTTGGGTCTTTTGTGTACTGAGGGCTATTTTTTCCTGTTTTTGTGTGTCACTGATCAGTGATCTGGAAATAAGAAGAGACATGTTATTTTGGTTTGCAGTTGATTGCACACACAGTGCCTCCTCACTAAATCAAATTCACATGCACCCCCCTCCCCTTTTTTTTTCTTTCTGCAAATATCCCATTCGACTCTGAATTCTACGAAAGGCAGCTCCTCTTCCTTCACAAGAAGAGGGCGTGTCTTGTGTTTGACAGAATTGGATCTCCTGGCTTTTTTCAGCATCTGTTGCTGCTGAAACACCTGAACCTAAACTCCTCTTCAGCTGTTTAAAAAGTAACATGAAGAGTTTGTTTGACAGGAATTAACTGGAAACATGTTGAAGGTTCGGCAAATCTGCTCAGTGAAGAGGAAAAACTGTTTCCGTGAGGAGTACTTCTTACAAGCCATGAAACAAAGTGGAGGGTTGGGACTCAAGTCCTCATTTTTAGGTCTATATCATTTATTTTTAAATCAATTTATTTTTTAATGTCTTAATAGCAAGGGCTGGCGCGCCTACAGTTTCGTGCATATGCCCGCCTGTTCAGCTGCGGTTCCTGCCAGGATGTCTAAAGAGGTGTCACGAATCATTCCTATTTTTTGCTCTCCAAGACTTTACAGCGAATGCAGCACGAACAGTGCGTAATCTAGCAACCACCGAGGAGCAGACAGGGACAAAATAAAACTTTAACAGGCTCTGTCCAGCATGCGTGTGAAAAGTGGAAGATCTTTACAGACACAAACTCCCTGAAAAATTCCCAAAATTACTCAGAGCCCAGCCCAAAATCAACCACAGAGGAGCTCATTGGGAGCCTGCTACACCAAAGGATCTGGATCACTACAAAATGTCTGAATTACCATCATGACAATCATCAGTCTTGGTTGTTTACTTGAAAAAAAGGAGAGGATCCAGATCCTGCTGGTACACGGCAAGATGGATCATAGACAACTTGAGCAAGAGTTGCCGTATAGTTATAGTAGTTTCAACTTTGTATGTAGATATACTGATGCTTTGTTCATGTTTTATACTGTATCTGGTTTAAAATGTCATCTTTAGTAAGCGATGATTGTAAACCATGTTTTATATGCTGTGTAGTGGACATAAAGGGTTTAGATAACAGCTTTTATTTGACTTGGATAGAGAGGTCTGACCATGTTTGCTTCTATTAATGTCAAACAGATTCAATGTTGTTGAATTTATCACATTTTTCCCGACAAACCACTCTGTCTGCATCTGCCAAATTTTCCAAATGAACCTTTTTTGCAATAATTGAGGATAGCACAGCAGTGTTTACAGATATCATACATACTGGGAGTTCAGAGGGAAACCTTTGAGTTTGCGTTAAATCGCTTTCATAGCCGGTGAGAAATGGTCATAAGTTTATTGACCTTATCTGACATGTCTGCTTTTCATTTACCTGACCTCATTAATACTCATATCACTGAACAACAGCGTCACTGTGTCATGCACTTTGCTGTAAACCACCCACAGGTGAAATTCATTTCTTATAACAAATCTGCAGAGCATTCAGCTCCGGCCACCTTTTAAAAAGGAGAAGGTAGGGTCTTTATTCCTGGTACTGGTCAACCGAGGCTCCAACCAACCAGTTTTGACTCCTTACTTTAGAGAAGAGCTGTAATTGCCAAAGCATCAGCTTCAGGTTTCCACACTGCAAATGTTATGCCTTTATAATAAATGATATAATGAGTAATGGCGCCTCCTTCTTCTCACAGATTTCAGCTCCTTCAAAACACATCCAGTGACCCGCTTTGTTGCGCCCCTTCCCCCCTTCTCTCGCCTTTCCCTGCCTTCGTGAACGTGGCTCCGTGCTGCTGGATATTTAAAGACATCAAATGCATGCAGGCCCCGGACAATTAGTGGGGACTGTTGCTGGGTAATTAGTTAAGAGGAAGAAAGCCTCCAATTTCTCCTGCACCCCCTGGGGAGCCCCTCTGCTCACACACAGACATCCATGCACAAAACCTCACTCGAAGCACAAACACACTCACATGGACACACAAAGACGTGGAGAGGTCCTGAGAAACACAAATAAGAGGAAAAAGCTCTGAAAATAAAATGATCACTGTGTGGTTGTTGTTTGAGAGCAAGAAGCTAGTTTAGGGAAGAATTAAAGGAGGAAAACCAGTTATAAAGAGAAAAGTAACGGAGGTACCAAGAACTAGCTGAACATAAAGGGGTAAAGACACTTTCCTCCAAGTGTTTTCAGCATCACAACCCACATTTACACTTTCTCTGACTGATTCATTTTCAATTTAAATAAAAGATATTTTGACGGGAAGAAAGAATAATTAGAATTGATATTGTGGCGAAAAATGTGTTTCGAATTTTTACTTCTTCATTACAAAAAGTGCAAAAAGTCACATTCATGTATCCTAAACTCCAAGTCGACTACATGAAGCTCGATTTAACCAAAAGACTCTGAGTCTTAAAGGGATATTCCAGTGAAAAATTAATTTAGAGTCAAACACACCATAACACCGAGTTAGACACCCCCTCAAGAGATGACTGTTGCTGACCGCTTGCTTCTCTAGTTATACCGACTTTAGTAACGACCGCACGATAGCAATACACAGAGGTCTGAGGAGCCATAAACAAACCTCAACCAAAACGTCACTCTATAGCCACAAATAATGCTCAGAACAGCGCCGAACTTCATCAACAGGACATATAGGGTCACAGACATAGTACTAGACACCAAACATCTTTTTAGCTTTGACTCATTTCTTTAGCAAAGAGACTAAACACAACTCACCTACTCTCTTCCAGTAGCCGCTCGTTTGTAGGAGACCTCGGGCCAGTCCATTACAGTCTACAGCGGGGTGACGCAGCTCAAGGAAGAACATTTATGGCTGTCGTAGAAGCAACTTCTACACACACATTTCCACCAGCAAGAAGATAAGATTGACTAAAAAATTGTGCAAATTAGGCGATGACGTCATCTAGCGACTTCTACAACAGCCACTAGCAACTTTCCTTACTGAGGAGTTGGCAACGCTGGTGGAAACGTGTCAGTCACACAACTCCACGTGATACCTGTTTGTTACTGGCACGCTGTGACTGACACGTTTCCACCAGCGTTGCCAACTCCTCAGAAAGGAAAGTTGCTAGCGGCTGTCGTGGAAGTCGCTAGATGACCTCATCGCCTAATTTGAACAATTTTTTAGTCAATCTTATCTTCTTGCAGATAAACAGTTTGTTTAAAGGACAAAAACAATTTTCACTGTGACTGGTTGTCTAACCAGAGAAGAGCCAAATATTTTATCTTGTCATTATTCGTCAGAGCGTTTATGAAGAGAGATTTCGCCATCACTTTGCTCATCATTCCTCTTTAGTCATGAAAAATAAGTTCGTCAACAAATCCTTGCTGTCAGCATTTTCGTTGACTAAATCAACACCGTGTTGGCAGTACAGAAGCGCACATTAAACCAATTATCTGCACACGCAGATTAAAGTGCATATCCAGATGAGGACAAGGACGGTGAAGGTTGTCATCAAAACACCCGAGTGAGCTGATTCGTACAAGGGTGCAGAGATGCTGAAGGACACAGCAGCTCGTCCTCTGGATCCAAATCAACTTTACTGACTTTTGGGTGACACCCTCTGCGATCTAATGTAGTTAAGCATAGTGTGTTTGTGCGCATGTGTGTGTTTGTGTTGGTATAATTGAAGTGTGTACAGCTAGTTTTTGTCCTAAGTAATTCATGAGCGCTCGCTGAGGTGAAGTGGCGGCTGAGTGACGGCGAGGAACACCTCAGAGCTTCTCCCTGCTGCAGTATTCATCACAACGCCCTTTCTCTCAAATTCATTATTCATGTTTCTTTACAGGCCGTCTTGTCCAAGTCGTCACCCGGGTGCCTCACGATGGGGACTTTGTTCTTCTAGACACTCAATCATCACCTGCAGTCTCCCACTGTTCCCATCTCCAAATCTCTCTCTCGTCTCCTGTTCCTTCCTGCCCTGTAATCTCTTCCCTCCCTGTCCTCTCTTTTTTAAAACTCGATTTCTGTATCTACATATCTGCTTTGAGTTCAGCCCAATCTGAACTATGTTTTCAGCAGTGGCGATTGCTCTAAGACTGCAAGGGAAGCTCGGCTTCCCTTAAAATGTCACCCCCCAAAAAAAGAAAAAGTGGTGAAATACGTACTGCTGTGTGTACATTTCATTAACTAAATACGCACTAGAAAGCCTTCATCTTTTGTTCAGACACTGTGATAAGAAGCTGATAATTATAGGTAACCGGCATAACTTCGTTCTCATTCATCCTCGCAGCGCCTCAGCGCTTTAAACAGCCGGACGCTGGGCTTCTGCTGACTTCAATGTGGAAGCTAAAAGTGGGTTGTTCCAGCAGCGAAACTAGACGCTCATTGGATAAATGCTGGGCTTTGTCCCGCCCAATGGAAGCTAAGCTTCACTGGAGTTCTATGGCGAGAGGGCGGTCCCGACTTTCTCCCGGACTGCAAGCTTCTGCATCCATGATTGGATGAGCTGTCTGAGGCGAAATCCTTTTTTGATTGACAGCTAAACAAGCGAATCAGCGATCTTGAAGAATAAAACCTCTACCAGAGCATTTTCCAAGTTATTCATTCCGTTGTTCTTAACTGCTCCAGAGACTTTACCGATCCTCAGCGACTTCTGTCTTTATTAAAAACGACTGCCGTTGTGTTTGGCGACTCTGTTCTGTTACATACTAATAAACAAATACAATTATGATGTAGGCCAGAAAAATGAGCTTCCCCTCATTGAAAGACCAGCAGCCGCCACTGGTTTTCAGTACAAAAACTGCATGAAAAGGTATTGAGGTTTCTTGTTAATTTCAAATCAGGGTTTCCTAAGTTTTTCAAACACATTAACACAAATATTCAACATTTAAAAAAAAAAAAAAAAAAACACTTAAATTTACCGGTTAGCACCAACTGCTGGGGAGTACTTGTCAAAAAACAACTATTAAATAGTTGCAGAATCTACCAGAAAACTGCAAACTGCAATAAAAAAAGAAGAACCCAGTAACCCAGGCTGGTGGTAAAATATTTAACAATTACAAATGTTGGCAGGAAATGCTTTTTGGGATGAATGTACTATGAAAAATCTCCACAGGATGACGCTCAGGGTATCCTGTCCACTAACGAAAGAGAACATGCATCCAGCTGAATATTAGTTCCTGTGTAGCTTAATGGAAAACACTGATTCTTTGAGATATTAAGTTGGATTGAAGGTGATTTATGAGGAAATGTATCCTGGAGATAAAGGTAACATACGGTTGTGTTTTTGGCATTTCTTTACATGGAACAGAGTTTTAGCAGCTGAAAAACAAACTTCCTAAACTGAGCTCCAGAGATGGGATCTCTTGCAAACGCCACCGTGTAAACTGACAAAGATTTTAAAGCCCCGTTCAAACAGGTGTATAAAGTTGTCAGTCAAATAGCCATGTGTGAGTTTAAGAACGACAGCAAAATGCAGATTTGTTGCTTCTGATTGTGCATCCGTCACTTTCAATGGTTGCTCTGTCGATGAACGCCTCGGTGAGTTGGCATGTTGTGTTCTTAAGTTATACTGCCAACTATCTGCATGCATACAACAGTGTTTTTACTCCTTTTTACAGATCTGTGAGCACAAAAAAGGTTTCACATCTTCACCATGTGACTTTTTTTTTTTTTTATGTAAAAGAAAGACTTGTATTTTGAACAGCTGCTCTCCACCAAAAAGGCCCTGGTCAGCATCACTTTTACCTTATCAACAACCCTCATCAGCATTAGAATAAACTAGTTAGTCGACTTTTCATTCATATTATTCCTACGACTCAAACTTTTGTTATTTTAGTCCAGAAACGCTGGTCATATGTTGTTTGACCAGTTGTTAGCCACTACCCCGGCCTGTAGCTCCATTAATGGTTACTTCAATAATGCCTCAATGCTCTACCACCTGGATGTAAATGTGCACAGATGCCATCTTCTAACACAGCCTATTCTGATTGAGATAAAGGTAAATATAGGCTGTATCTGGTCAAACTAGCATATGGCAACTCTAACCCAGCACAGGCTGGTGGTGCTAGCTCTGCTAACATGAGTAAAGTAAAGTTTTGTACATGTTATTACCCACTGGAGCTTAAAGCGTGCTCTTTTCCTTGCTGTATCTTGAATGTTCTGGTGAATTAACTAAACCAAACTGCAACCACGTTGTGAACTGTACCTCTGCAAGCTGCTAACCATATGCTGCATCTTTGTTCATACTAACTTGGATTCCGGGCCTTGAATGTGCAAAAAAAAGTAATAGAAAAAAAAAATAGATTTGATCTCAGTTTTTTTGTGCAGAAAGAAAAAGCCATGGAAATACAATAGAAAGTAAAAAGGAGGCGCACAGCAGCGTTCCCTCAGTCAGGGAACTTCAAGCCTCTGTGAGAAGTTTTGAACTGTTTTGATACACATTGAAGTTGACACTGATAACTCTGTATGACCTACAAAAGCAAACAAGACTGACTGAAACAAGCTTGACAATTTCACAAATATCACAACATCTGAAAATATGCAAAAAGCAGAGAGAGAGAGAGAGAGAGAGAGAGAGAGAGAGATTGACTGTGCAAAATGTGTTCAAGAGGTCCGGTGGAGGAAGTGTGCGGTTTTGCTGGAGTGTGCGAGAGGATGAGTGTGCTAAAGTGAAGCATGGTGCTCAGATGGTCATATTTAGTGTGAGGCCACTGACTGGGTTGAAAGTGAGATTATGTCGACCCTGGCTCACCTCTGCGGCGGCATTTTTCCCTAAGAACACAGAGATTTCAGTCACATTAGTATTCTCGTATCGTCAAACACCAGTTCTAAATTCCCAGTCGTGCTCATGTTTAACCGCTCAATTGTGCGAGTTTCCCTTCAGCTATTGCCCCATAAGCAAACAGCATTAACTGTAGTCCTCCGCTGCTGCACAGCACATTAAATGAACGTTACATTATTCCTCTTTGTCATCGAGGGGCGGACGCGGCAATGATCCTTACATCACAAATGATAAACTAAGAATAATGAGGAGTCAAACGCCCCCAGGGGTTTTTGACATTAAGCTTTTACTGTTTAAGAAGCTGCTGTTTAATCAGGTATCCATGGTAACCAAGAACAAGGCTTTGCATCCATGTCCAACAATTTCATATTTTACTATTCCAGTGCAGTTTTGAGCCGCTTACGCTCATTTCTTGCAGGATGCACATGACGAGAAGTGGAATTATCTCACTTCAAGGGTGAAATATATCCAGATATCTCGGATCGGATGGTTTTTTGCAGTATGGTCACTCGTGCTGATCATCTAGCAGGGATTTTTACCTCAACAATTCATGAACTTTCAGGGTCAGTCCTGCGTAGAGGCCCTATATGGATGATTTGCTTGATTCAACTCCATGAAGAGGAAAGAGTTTCTGCACAGTGCGCTAACAAAAATTAAAGTCTCTTCGTCTTCTGTTGTTTTTGCCAAAGAAGTCACACCCAGACATGAAATGGTTCAGGCCTGCTCTTGAGAGAGGAGTGAGAGAGCAGCATCGTGTCACGATACCAGAAAAGACGAGAGGAGAAAGGGAAAGGCCAACTGTCTTCAAGTTTGTCTCAGGGTCTAATCCGGTCTGTTAAAAATGAACCTGATGGAGCCCACAGGAAATAAACTCTCTTACAGCCCTGACATTAGCTGTCTCATATGTTAACTCTCTGAAGCCAAAACCTTCTCAAGCAGCTTTTTTCAACCTTTCAAAATAAAAGCCTGCTAAATCAGAATGGGGGAAAAACAACCTAAGAATTAGATGTTGAAATTGCATAATAAAAGCACATCATTGACCATCCAAAGTCAACGAATCAAAGCGACATTTGAACTTTGAACTGCATTAAATGATCAAACAGTAACCTACATTGCATGGCATGTATATCATTGCATCCATGCCAATGTGATGTATGTTCACTTGGCCCTCAATTCCTGGTTCTGGGGCTCAAAGTCCTCAATATGTTTATTTGTGGCGAGTTTAAAGCAGGATGTTTGCATCAGCCACGCAGCCTTTCATTGTATTTCCATCCATCCACATTATCACTCTCCTCCTTTTGTAGCAGCTTTTTTTACCCGACTAGAAAGAGGCCTGATATCATGTGAATAGAAATACCAAACACCTCCTTCACATGCATCACGGACACAAAACTACATTCATTTGGCTAAACTCAAAATTCAACTGTGTAGGTTCTCATTTCTCTGAGTCATAGTTATCAAAGGCTTGATCTAAAAAGGGACAACTAGACTGGGTTTAAGTTCTTGAGGATGTCTCTGAAATGTTCTTTTGGAACAAGACTTGGCTAAATTAGCGTGATCAAACAAGGATGGAGAAGATTTTGAAAGATTTATGAGCCTTTTTTGGAGTCTGTACCAGAGCTGGACCCTCTGAGAAATCCCTAAATAGCTGTTCAACTCTTTTGCCTTCTCGAAATTTGTAACATTTGTTGTTCAGTTTTGGAAATTTCTATTGAAAGAGCAGAAGAAAAAAGTTGCTCAACCTTGTCCCTATTTCCTTGAACTTTCTTTGAAGTGATTCATCCAGTCATGGTACCACAGATCTTAAACTGCAGCCTCTTAAGCCTCAAACATCCCCTTCTGAGGAGGGAACATCTCAGTGACCAATATTAGTTCAGACGCAGCGTGTGATTTCCTGTCTTACTCATTTGTGCAGCTCAAATTTGAAGAAGTCACTGCTTGGCACAGACACTGACACTAAACAGGACGCTCACTGAAGCCCTGAATCCAATTAGCCCACATCTGGATCTCCATATAGAGACAGCACGCCGTTATTGTATCTGACAGGGAATAACCCATGCATCGATTGATTTTACAGTATAGCAGACTTCCTATTACGCTGCACAATCTGGATGCAGAGCAGATGGTCCATTTCTAATGCCAATTATTCATAGCAGCTCATGTGGACAATAAGCATGGTGAGGGGAACTAATTATAGAAAGTAGATCCAGGAACAAGAAAGAATCCAATAAAAAACACAGAAATAGACTTTTTTTAATGTGTGAAAAACTCAAACAGAACGATGAATCTGGATTCAGGAGACGGGAAGGACTGAGATAATGAACTCAAAAGAGCCCATCACTGTGTGCGCTCATGCCAGCAGACTGATAGTGACAAACTCTGCACAAACAGACACAAAATGCTCCATTATTCCCACAAACAGCCTCACACCTCACACCTCTGGCTGCTCAGCTGCAGTGCCGTTCATTCCTCAGCCGGCTGCCGAGCAGAAACACACAGTCACTGCTACAGACTGTGGAAGATGCATAGTAAACAGGACAGAGCAGTGCCAGTCATGACTAATCAGATGAAGCTGGGGGAATAAGGTGGCAGCGGCTCAATAGTGGCCCGGTGTCTTAAAAAAAATATAAAAATAAATAAAAAAATCAGCTTCTGGCAGAGAAGAGAGTGATACAGCAGAGCAAAAATCTGCCACATCACTGAGTCTGAGCCGTTCCTCTCCAAAGTACAGGATCAGTGTTGCTCAGGAGCAGCAGAGCACAACGAAAACGCCAAAAAAAAAGAAGCAACACAGCAAAGTGAGAGTGGAATAAATGAGCCTTACCTCTGAGTCAGACACCAAATCCCAGTCCTGGACCAGTCAGAAAACCATAGAGCTGCTGCTCCGTGACGTATAGAAAGTGACACAGGAATATTTCAGCTGGTCAGGAAGGAAAAGCTTCCTTTGCTGAGATTTTATTTCGGGATAATCTCGAGTCTGGATTAGAGGCTGTGGTCCAGCATTAGCAGCAGCAGACGGCTCATTTCCATTTGAGAGCCTCTGACAGGCTTCTTTCTCCCTGTAGGGGACCCGGGGCGCTTCAGACTGTGATCC